GGGGACACGGAGCTCTTGAGGACACGATCATGGGGACACGGAGCTTGAGCGGACATGGGGACAGAGGCGACACAGGGATAGAGGGGACAGCGGGGACACAGAGCTCGAGGGGACACGATGCTCTTGGGGACAGTGGGGACAGAGGGGACACGATCACGGGGACACAGAGCTGGAGGGGACACAGGGACAGAGGGACAGCGGGGACACAGGGACAGAGGGGACACGGAGCTCTTGGGGACACAGGGACAGAGGGGACACGATCGTGGGAACACGGGGACAGCAGGGACATGGGGACAGAGGGGACACGGAGCTCTTGGGGACACAGTCGTGGGGACAGCGGGGGCGTCGCCCCGTTGCCCCACCCACCTGCCAATCAAGAAAAAAAAGGGCGGGACGGAGGCCACGCCCTCTCAAAGCCACGCCCCCCGCTCGGCTGCAGTTCCTGCGGTGAGCGGCAGGGGGAGCTCGGGGTGAGAAACGGGGAGGGAGGAACTCCCCCAGTTGGGGGTGTCCCCGTGCCGGGGTGTCCCCAAGTCCCCCTGTCCCCACACCCTGGTGTCCCCAAGTCCCCCTGTCCCCATCCCGGGGTGTCCCCAAGTCCCCGTGTCCCCAAGGACGACGCCACCGCCGTTAATTAATTTACAGCGTCATTTATACATCAGGATGAACTGGGATGAACTGGGACGAACTGGGGCGAACTGGGAGGGGGGAGCACGGCCAGCTTTGGGGTGTCCCGGTGCCGGGGTGCCCCCAGCCCCCCGGGGGTCACGGGGGGGTCCGGGCGGGGCTGCGGCGCGGGAGGCGCAGCCGGGGCAGCTGGAACGGGAGGCAGCGCACGGGGCGCGGCGCCGGCAGCTCCGAGAAGAAGGTTCGAGAACGGGGGGGGGGCCCCGCCTCGGCCTCCGAGCCCCCCAAATCCTGCAGCACCCCCAGGATCTCCCGCCGAGGGCCCTGAGCACGCAGACCCCGAGCGTCCAGCAGCGCGGCCACGTGTCTGCGGCTGTGGGGACAGCGGGGACGGGGACAGGGGACAGGGGACAGGGGACGGGGGGACAGAGGGACAGAGGGACAGAGGGGATGGGGACA